TTCGCTAGTAGTAAAACCATTTTCCTACAATGATGACATCAACGGCGATGATTATGACAAGAATGCACCAAAACGAGTTGCGGTGGGGATTAAATGCAGACCCTACATTTGTACATGATACAATTAGTGAAGAAGAGTCAAAGTCAGATTACGCATGTTATCCATCTTCTAAGGAATTCAATGGCATTCAGCAATTTAGGCGAGCAGTTAGGAATCATGAGGTTGTAAGTAGGTGTGATTTTAGGTTTAAGGTGAATGATGAGTAGAGAGCACATAAATGGAAGATTTGAGCTTCATGTAATAAGAGGAAGGGTTGCGTGCAAATAAAGACTTAACACTTCAGAGCACACATGCACAAGAGACTCGATAGATAGACATTGTAAAACCAAGTATCTTGCTGAGAAGTATATAGAGATTTTCAAAGTTGACCCTGATTGGAAGTTGAAACTGCTTAAAGAATGTGAAAGATGATCTAAAGTTGACAATCAATAGAATGACTGGATGGAGGGCTAGGAGATATGCTAGGATACTGATGAACATCAGTTTGGTTTACTTAGGTCTTTTGCTGCTGAAATTTTGAGAACTAATTCGAGATCCCTATCTACGGTTCCCATGCATGATTCAAAATTTCAAGGGATTTATATGTATGTGGCAACTTATAGGCATAAATGAGTGTTTTTTGAAAGGGAGTTTGAAGAATAGATTCTTGTGGTAGTGGCATTATGCCAATGATTGTATTTATCCAGTAACATATGTTGTAGTGGAGAGAAGAATGCTATTATTCGGGGATGGTTTATTAGACATTTGGGTGAAGATTAAGGATTTAATAGCAATGAATGGACTTTTATGAATGATACTATGATAGGCAGAAGGGGTTATAGAATGTGATAGAGGACATGTATCGTGTAACTGAACATAGGTAATTTTATGGTAGACACATGCATGCCAATTTCTTTATAGAGTTGATTTTAAACTCTGAAAGATTATTTATGGATGGCTACAAAGTCAACAACTGTGGCTGATTGGAATTTCTAGATAGATGAGATTGAGAAGGCGAACAAAAATGCATATGATTGGTTAATAAAAAGGCATCAAAGTGAATGGAACGAGTGTTACTTTCTGACTAAAGTGAAGAGTGATATACTTCTAGAAGTATTCAACAATGTAATGTTGGACACAAAGAAATCCATTCTGACATTGTTGATTGATAGACACATCAGCTTCATGAAAGATGATAAAAGCTAAGAGGGATAAGATGAGAACAACCACAAGACCTTTGCGTCCTAAGATTCAGCATAAATTGGTAAACTTGAGCTTGAAATAGCTCAGGGGTGTGAGGTGGATTGGTTGGGGCCCACAGTTATTTGTGAAATCTTCTAGTGGAGAATTTATTGTTGATATACATACCAGGACATGTACATGTTGTTGCTGCTATCACTACCACCTGATTTTTAGTTCATGCCAACACCCGGAATTGGTTAGACCAGGGTTGCACAATACACCAAGACCCGTCCTTCACTTTATGAGCCAGCCAGTTCAAGGAGGGAGAAAGGCAAGTCAGTGCAAAGTTAATTACAAATCCAAAGTGAAAGTATGCTACTTGAAACCATGGTGGAATATTTACACGAGATAGATGCCCAAGAAAATGCAAGGAAGAGGGCTGCTAAGGCAAAGAACAAAAAGACGGTCACAGGGTCAGTTCCATTTGCACCTCTAAGGACAATAATGTAGCAACTCAATAGAACAAGAATTGTGTTTTGTTGGAAAACTTTTGAAGTCCTGACATAAGTTAAAAACTTTTGATTTGGTTGTAATCTACTGGTCAAAATACTCAGGTTCTTGTTTTTTGTGATTGTAGAGACAAAAAAACATTGTCTGTGCTTGTGTTGGTTAAAACTTTAGATGGTTGATTTTTCCTTTTGAAGTTTGATTCCAGCAGTGTAGTATGGATCATTCAATGATTTGGTATTCTGCTTATCTGATTTTTGTTTTTTCATGATGTTGGACAGGTTTAATTAAATTGTGCGATTAAAATGTTGCTTATCTAGTGTTTAGCATAATGAAAATATTGAAAATGATACACTGGTATCTTTAGACTTTAAATCCCTATTTGATTTTGCTAAAGATCATGTTTTTAGTAAATTTTGATAAAACTTGAAGAAATGTGAGATTGAAAAGTTGATAAAATTGTACTTGTGGGTCCATGAAAGGTATGGTCAAATAAACCAAACAAATGCTAAAATTCATCACAATTGACTAGACTCATTGAAAAGTCAAATTAATCCTCAAAATTTGTATACCTTCTAAAATGCACTTGCAAGTTGCATATTTGGACATGCACATGAGATGGACACAAGAAGTTCCCTTCCTATGCAAAGGACAATTTGGACAGTAACCGAAATAGGTTAAATAAATCAGTGAGTCGTCTTCTTATTCCTAACAAAAGGTCCACGGGACTACAGCCCAAATTTTAAGCTCTTTTGTTGCATTACAGAGTATGGCCTCCAGTGTTCAAACACGAACACATTAGCTTCAGAAGCAAATTTTAAGCCGAGGTGAGCACATTTGGTTAAGCTTATAAGCATGTGCTTTTAAGCTCATTAACTTGCGCTTACTGCCAATATAAAAACAGCAAATATGACACTTAAAAGTTTACCCAAACACGCTTGGATAAAAGGAAACTGGTCAACATGATTATCTAATACACAAGAAACAAGTATTATAATTAACTTATTTCATTGATAAATTAGAAAGTTACACAACACTTTTAGTATTTATACAGAAATGATCTTTAAATAGCTAAGACCTAATAGCCAGCAAGTAGCTGGTCTTGAATAAGTTACTAGAACTTATAAAGGTCTTAGTCTGCTAAAAATATGCAAAAAAACCCTCTCTTACAAATTAACTAGCCCACATCATTCTCTCCTTCACATCTTCATTTTGTGAAGCGGTGCCATCAGAACTGAATTGAACTGGACAATGCTACAAGTTTGCAAGATGAATGAATAAAGAAGGAAAGTGCATTCCCCGGTGTCTGGCAATGTATCGGTTGATGTACTGAGCATTTTACCAACATCAGTAACCATGAGAGAATATAATGAAGACTGGAGGATTCTAGCATTGGTACGAGAGCATCTTAGAGAAGCAAAATGTCAGTTGTAGCTATTGCATCTTGTCATCGACTAGGAGAATTGATTATGCTAGAAAAGTGATTGAATGGGTTTTGGAGAACTGAGAGTTGACACACACTTGAACTGTCATGGAGAGCATAATTTCATTAGATGTTATGATCAACATTAAAGAGAGCATGTTTGGTACACATCATTGGACATTATAACAAATAAAGTTTGTACACATCATTGGACATTATAACAAATAAGATTTTGTCTTTTTTGTTGCTTAGTGTATTGCTATTAAGATGCAAAAGTCAAAGGAGTGGGATGTCGTAAAAGGTATTACCTTAGATTGTTTATATTTTTCACGTATTGCAGGCAACTTGCATCCATGAGTGTTTAGCTGCAAGTCATGCAATGCGAGAACAGTGGTTTTCATCTCCGATGCCTTGTAGTTGGTGTAATGCTCCAGAGTTGAATTCTGCAAAAAGTACACGATCATTTTGGGTTTGAATGCTATCAGAAAGGAAGATCAACAGTCAAAAGATGCAAACCCATGGATGGTCTGTTTGATCAAGTGTCCATCTGGCTAGAAATACAGCAGATGCAGCAACAAGGGATGGAAGAAACTCTAGGAGACTGTACTCGGTTAGAGTTAACTCTGCTAAATAATTTGCCAAGAATTCCAGTTCAACAGATGGAACCTGAAAATGGGGGGAAATTATTTAGTCAGAATGGATTCTTCCTTTTACGAAAACCAAAAGAACTGTATAATGTCTTGTCTACCTCATATGAAACCTGTGCTGCTTGAATGAATCTCCTACGAAACAGATTGAAACAGTGCAAAAATAAGAGATACTGAACTTGACAAGATTGCATTTCATTGAAAATAAGGGACGCCTATTTTGTAGATATGGCGAGTACCTAAGGAACTTCTTTGTAGTGGGAACAGATAATTGAAAACCCAATAAGTTCAAAACACGACTTTCCATTTTCACGACCTGCCACGTAGCCAAAAGTGAGTTCTACGTTTGCAAATAAAGTCTTTTCCTGACCGGGGAGGGCGCAAGTTAATTTACGGCCAAAGGCATGAATGCTTTTGGAGCTATGAGTTTATTGAGATTTATATCAAGGAAAATGCAGCTATACAAACAAAGAACCGAACTGAAACATAAAATATATCAGCCTCTGAAATGAACAATGTCCTTGATCTACAGTAACTCAATAGGAGAAATAAACTTGCAAAAGAGACCAGGATGTACCTCTTCTTTTGTGTAGGTATTATCTGTGATAAAACAAAACTCTTCCACACGAGGTGCGCAGATTTCTTCATATTTTCTTCAAACCGAAATCCAGAAAGATATAAGCAAGAAAATAAGCATTTATACTTCTTGTAAATAAAGGAAACTTACGAAGCAATTAGCATGCAAGTTACACCAAGCAGCTGCAATTTTTGCTTCTCAATATAGTTTTCAGACAGGAACCGGTCGAGAAGGTTTACAGTAAGGTAAAGTGTGTCTGGAACCAGCCTATACTCTTCAGAAACCTGAAATAGAGGAGACATACACACAACGCAATACAACAATTAAGAAAAGAAATATAATTTGAATACTCCCAAGAAATCCAGTTTTTCTTAAAGGATTAAGATTGTTGGATATCACAAGTTTGAAACTTTGAGTTTGTAGTATAAAATAAAAATTGAAGATAACAGTGCACTGCTCAGAGGAGGTCGAAGGGTACAATTGAAGAGTGCAACCAACAACTGCTCGTTTTACTATTTTTACAAGTGAGAAGCATAATTTCTTGAGAACAAGAGGAAAAACTTGCTATTTCGAAGTAATAAAGACTATTGAATCTAGTTACTCCATACCCAAGAAAAAAGGAACAAGAATTCCTAACAGTTCTTAGGTATCTTTGTAAGAATAATGATGGTTGTTTCCACAAGGAAAGGACAGTCTAATATCATGCGTCCAAATCTGACTGTATGCACTAACCTCCACAAGCCAATCAATCAGTATCCCTCGCATGCCCGGGTTGATGTCTCTCTGCAGCTTTTCCATATAATTGCAAGAAGGCCTTCGGTCAAACTGAGAGAGAAGAAAATTCGCCTGAGTTAACATGAAACGGAAAGCATCTGTAGAAAACAGCAGTGTATTTGATTGATCTAGAGAAACGATTATAAAATTTTAGTTTGCAAAAGAATTCAGTATGAAAACAATCCATACTGAACTGAATTTGATAACATGACACTGAATTTGGAAATGACAAAAGCAAAAGTTCCCAACAATTTGGAGATTATTATGTGGCGAGGTGCTAAGTGCTGAGCGGACAAATTTAGGAATTAGAAATACGACAGAAAGAAAGAACATATAAATAACACGAACACAGCCTTACAAACCTCCGTTGCATGCAAATTTCTATATATATCAGGGGCATACATGCTGCACATCAGTGGATCCTTGTGTTTTGAATCTATATCCGTAAAGCCCACGTTATCCAAGTTTTCTTGTTCAGTCCAGAAAGTGGTTTCTCCTGGACGATACAATTACAGAGAAAATGATACACCCAAAAGAAAACAATTAGCAACAGAGAACATGAAATCCAATATATCTAGATAATTCTTAAACACATTCAGGAATCCATTCGATAGAAAGGACTACAGAACAATCCAGGTTGCAATGCATGACAGACTTGTGTGATGTATGACAAAAGACTATGAACTAGAAGGTTGATCAAAAGTATGAATCGAGGAAGCATTAGTTATCAAGTATTCTCAATTCATAAATGCATCACACACATTTGAATGAAATTCACATGAACATATAAACAAGGATATAAGAGAAAGATAAGGTCCGTTGGATGTGTCAACTGATTTAGAATAATAGTGCAAGTAACACTACAGGATTTCATAAAATGAACGGATTTGATCTAATTATCTATTTTATTTGGAAGTGTATATATATCATCTTTCTTAGGAAACTCTTGTTCTTGATAATTAGGGTAACTACCAAATAAGCTTGAAGAGACTTGTGTAAGTAGATTATATTTACAGCTCTCCCAAGCATATTGCTGAAGGAGCAATTAAAATTTAGAGTTTGAATAATCACAACTTGTAGGAAGCCTTATAATTTCATTCCATTATTAGCAGTAATGCAGGTATTAGGTGTCACTCATTTAGTCATCATTTTTGCTCACAAACAAAATCAAAATATATTCACTTGTGTGACAACAAGAAAAAAGTGTTTTATCAATACGTTGCAGTTTCGTGGAAAAGAGAAAATAAAATCCAACCTCGCTTCATTCGACTCCACCATGGATTGTGCTTACTAGAATTTTGTTTTTCCATTGAGCTGACACATTCACTTGGTTGAACTGTTACCAACTCTTTGACGTTTACAGGGAAGCAAATATCTTGTGATTTCTCCATCTTTGTTGCGTTAATCTCTTCAGTTATGTTTTCTCTTCTATCCTCTGTAACTTGAGACTCTTTAACACAAATATCATGTGCCACCCTTGCATTTTTTCTTGTGGTGCCTGTTCTATCCAGTTTGCTAAGCTGACAGGGAGGAACATCAACATACAGTGAGTTTTGGAGAGAAGCCTCAAACTTTTAGTTCGAAGACAGCATTCAACAAATTTAGAAAAATTCTATCTCCCCAGCATAAAAGTGTAGAGATATAACGAGCGCAAGGGAGAGTTGTAAAAAAGGAACCTAACTTTATATTTATAATCAAAATGAAGATTTATAGTCTTACCTGAACTTTTGTTGCATTGATGCAGTTTCTGTATGAATTTTCACAGAGCATGTTAGTTACTTCTTTAAGAACAGCCCTCTTCTTATGCTGAGGAAATTTAGAGGAACTTGCAGCAGGTTTGTTTTCGTCAGACGCTGCTCTTTTGGAATTTGTTTGCAGAACCCGTTTACCATCCTGTTTGGTTGAGGGATACAAAGGTGGCAATCCTTCTGACGAGCTCAAGGCTTTAGCCCGTGCTCGTGTGATTCGCACTGTGGGGCCTACACCTTCGGAAGATCTATTCTCTTTGTTCATAGTTGCATGCCTCGTAGAATGACAGTTCTTAAAAGTTAGAACAAACTAGTATGCCTCCATTAAAGCTGCAATTATATCATAAATTTATAATTAAGACAAACAAGATATACTGAAGAACCTATGTAAATGCAGAAATTACAATAAACAAACGAACCATAAAGCTTAACTTAGAAAAGCTTTTATAGTCGTCCACAGGAAATATTCTTCAACATCATGCACATTATAAGTTGATGCATTCCTATAAATTCAAGGGCATTTCTTTGATTGATAAAATTTTATTAACATAATTTCAATTCTACTGAGGCTACTTGTTCTATAGCCTGGACTTAGCACTATTTCGTTAAACATTGTACGAAAAATGGATCAGTAATAGCTTTTGAAGGAAAAAATGGATCAGTTAGAGCTGGGATTTCTATCCTATTCCACATTTAGGCATGACTAACGAGATAGAGAGAACTTTTTTCACTTATCTATTGTTGTTCCATTCCTCTATCTCACCCCTCCCCCCATCCTGTTGTAGCCTAGGCCACCAAACGAATTGAACAACATAGAGAATGGGAATAAGAATGTGCCTTGTTAAGTTTCCATAATAGAAAAAAGAGCAAACTCAAAAAATTGAATATAAGGAAACGGTAACTAACTGATCTAATCGGAACCATTTACATGAACTTAGGCAAGTTTTGTCTATCTGAAGCTAGATCCCGCAACACAATTATCATAAATGGGATAACAGATGACAAGATCACTCAACTTGTCAGCATTAATATGCCCAATAGTTGCAAGTACTAAACAGAACCACTTATTCACCTAAAAACATTTCTCCTACTTTCCTTTCCACTTTTATGTTTAAGTGTAATTACAATGGAACTTACAGACAAACAGCTTATATCCAAACACAAAATCAAGCGACAATTCTTATTGAGTAAACTGCTCAGCTCAAATAAACATTCAATCAAACAATACAACAAATTACCAAAATATAGATTCTTTTTGCTCAAAGTCAACATTAAGAGCATGTTTGCCCAGGATTAAAATCCAATTTTAATTGAAAATATGATCATTGTTGGGTCCCACTCATCTAATAAAAGTCAACAATAACGACTAGTTTTTCAATTTTAATCCAATTTTAATCTCTATCGAACACGCCTAAGTGTTTGGAGAACAGTAAAATGCTTAATATTTCATTATTCGACAAATAACTGGAGTGGAAATAAGACGAAGCCGGGAGCAAAGCCAATGCAGCATCAAGGTATTGGACCATGAGCTTCAAAAGCTTCAGCTTGACTTAGACTAACATTAATAGCTCCGGCAATAAGAAATTAAGATTAAATAATTTTTTAAAAAAGAAAGGAGAAATTTGAATTTCAAATCAATCCAGATCCCCAGTTGCTTCAAAAATTCAATACAAATAAATAGAAAATAATCCACAAAAATTGTAATCTTGGAAACTTCAAAGAATTATTTTTTTCTCTAACACTTATTTTTTCCAAAATATCAAAATAAAACACAAAATTTACATGAAAAATCATCAAAACAAACTGAATTTTAAAAATGGGGACTGATAAAACAGTAATAAACCAAATCCTGGTCTTAGCTCCACAGATCTACGCACAATCTTGTAGATTTCCACAGATGAAGCTCAAAATAATAATAAAATACATCAAGCACACAATAAAAAGTCCAGAAATTCAAAATGTAGGAAAATTCACACATAAAATTAGAGCTGAGCTCACTCTGCATTTACATCAAGAGCTCCTAAAACAGCAATGGGCTTTCATTTCACCCGGATCCTTTATCCAACGGTGTATAGATACAACCCGATGTGTGTATTTACAGAGAGAGAAAGTGAGTGAGTTAGTGAGAGTGAGAAAACGGAAGATGTATATAAATGCGTGTGTCTACAGAGGAGTAGCCGAGTAGGGTGAGAGCGGGATTCGGGCACAGTTCAAACTTCCAATTATTGAAAATAAGTTAGGCTAAGTATTGGTCACATTATTTGTAAAATATTTTTTTCCCTTTTATTTTCAATCATGCATTTTTTTAATAAAATAATATTATACGCAAATTCAAAATTATTCTTTATTTTTTAATTA